ATAGTTGATTAAACATGGACAATTTATATTTTGTATTTATTGAATTTATTAATTCCAGCTGTAATATTTTCTTGTTAATAATTGGTTTTGTGGTTATTATAATAACAACTGTGTATAGCAAGTGTATTTATAATTATTTAGCCGGAACACAAGTGAAATACCCATGGCCACTAAAACAAGGTACATTTAATACAGATTTTGAATTTAAAAAAATGGTCGGTTATGGCGGGTTTGGCAAGGTTTTAAAGGCACGTAATAAATATGATAAAATCACCTATGCGATTAAAAAAGTTAAATTACAAGGTATATTTTATAATAAATTATAAAATCCATTATATTTTCACATGCTAAATAAATAATTTGCATTTATAGGTCTAAATGAATCAGAGCAAAAGCATCTTGACAATGAGATACGTCTATGGGCGAAAGTGAGCCTGTCAAATCATTTCATTCAATTAAACACCTTTTGGTACGAAGATGTCAAGAATGAACCGGATACTCAAAATATTGAAGCTAGCTCAGTTAATTCAATACTTAAAAATATAGCATTTAACCCGTTTTACACTAAATGTATTGGAAAGGTATTGCACATACAAATGGAGTTGTGTCCGATGACATTAAAACAGGCGATTAAGATAATTAACCAAGAACTAAATCCATGTGCACTGACATCCCAAATAAAAATAGGCTTATGTATCACAACGTTGTTTTTGTTTGAAATAATAGACGCTGTTTATTATTTGCATTCACGAAAACCAATAATTGTCCATCGTGATATTAAGCCAGAAAATATATTTGTTACCCAGGGCAATAACGGTAATTTCATTAAGGTTGGCGATTTTGGTTTAGCAGTTGAACGTAATAATATTAAAGAAGATGATCACCAAAAAATAAAAGAGAACATTGAACTTTCTCAAAAATGTGGCACGTTCAAATATATGGCACCTGAAGTTTTAAATTCGACAACTTACGATGAGCAATGTGATATTTACAGTACGGGAGTGGTGGGCCAAGATTTATGCGACATTTGGTAATAATTAATTTTATAATATATTCTAATAATCACAAAATTAGCAGTGTCATTACAATTAAGTTCCAAAAGTTTAAATAACCTAAAAATAACGTTGTATAAATAAGATTAAGTTATAAATGATCCAAAACTCGTTATTTTATATCATTATATACTTGATCTATATTTTTTATTATTTATGACTAACGCTTATAAAAGTTCAAATAACTAGTGTTGAAAAATTTATTAATGTCTTAATGTATTAGTATACAGGGCTAACCACTTATTATGTTACGAATTTGAATTTAATTTTTGAAAAAAGTATTTTATTTTAAACAATGAGAATGATATCAAATTGTAGCTTATCCATTCACCTTTCATTTGATATGACTAAAAAATATTTTACAAATATCTCATATTTCCGTGATGACCACTATTATAATTTTTCCAACCTATGCAACACTCAACACATTGTTTTATACAATTTTTACAAAAATGAGATTTATCAAAATTTTAAATATTATTTTATAATTAGTTTAAATAAAAATTTAAATATTAAGGGTTTAATACAACATATAAATACTATTAATTCATATCAAATTTAAATTGTCATTTAGTTATTTTATATAATTTTTTATCAAAAATAAGTTAATTTCTAAGAAGGAATTTCTCGATACGGAAAGTTGGCCATGCTAGTTTAATTTGTATGTGCATAAACTTAATTATGTCATTAATAAATATGCATGGTCAAAAAGTGCGAATCCGGCCGATAAGTTGGTCATATTAAGGTNCACTTTTTGACCATGCATATTTATTAATGACATAATTAAGTTTATGCACATACAAATTAAACTAGCATGGCCAACTTTCCGTATCGAGAAATTCCTTCTTAGAAATTAACTTATTTTTGATAAAAAATTATATAAAATAACTAAATGACAATTTAAATTTGATATGAATTAATAGTATTTATATGTTGTATTAAACCCTTAATATTTAAATTTTTATTTAAACTAATTATAAAATAATATTTAAAATTTTGATAAATCTCATTTTTGTAAAAATTGTATAAAACAATGTGTTGAGTGTTGCATAGGTTGGAAAAAATAAAATAGTGGTCAACAAGAAAAAACGAGATAAAAATATTTGTAGTGTTTTCACAGTCGAATAACATATCAAATGAAAGTCTAATGAATAAGCTACAGTTTGATACCATTTTCAATATTTTAACTAAAATACCTTTTTCAAAAATTAAATTCAAATTTGTAACAATAATCACTGTATACATTACTAGTTCACTAGGTGAACTACTGTAATATGAAATAAATAGTACTTAATGGTACTTTATAATTGTGCAATATCATTAGGATATATAGAGTTGTTACTAAACATCAATCCAATTTGGGCACCCTATACTATTTTACCCATAATTATGCAGTAAAAACTGGTTTATAGTTTTTGTTTGTACTACTCCAACCTCCAACTATGTACATACCGTATAACCAGAAAAGCGCATTGTATTTATTAACTTCAGTTAAACTTATTGTTGCTCTATGTAATAATCTGTCAAAATAACAGTCTATTTTCCACCGTCTTGATAACTTGATTATAAAAGTTTGCCTATAAATATAATCTGGGCAAATTATACATTACATAATATATAACTTCCTCTACAACATTGATAAGGAATCAAGTAAAAATAGTACAAGGTGTTCAAATAAGCCCAAGAAAATGTATAGATGTTAATAACAACTCTATATTACTATAACTGCTGTGACAATTAATTGTGCATTTTATAGGAGAGGTGCGAAAAATCAATATTCCCAAGGTAGAAATAAGGACGATCCATTTTTACGTTGGATGAATATGAAATGTAGTGTGCTAGGTTTATTGCGGGAAATGATCGCAAAGGATCCATTAAAGAGACCACGTTGTTTAGATATAAAGGAACAACAAAATGATTGGAGGGTAGAAATAGCTGACATAATAGATGACCCCCTACTCTACTCGATCGGCGTGAATAGAAATGTCGATAAGGTGGAAATGAGCCCGCTCACGAATTACATAATCTATACCAAGCTTAGAAACCACATTGAGACTGAATTTGATGAATTTCAAAGAGATAAGACAACGGGTATTTCTAGTGAGTATTATCACGGGTTTTATTGGCATACGATGGACACGTTTGACGAAATAGCCAGTACAATTATTGCCGATGAATTAACTACCGATTCAAATTTGAATGAGGATGATAAGATTAGTTGTATGGCCACTATTAAACACGCGTTTGCTGTCCATTTTTCGCCCAAATTAATTAAACAGTTCATCGTTGATAAATTGCCTAAGCTAGATAATTTTGGTCATTGGGACTGTGTCATTTACCGGGATCATATATTAGGCAATGGTATGACGTTAATTAACTGGGATAGCATATGCTACTTGCATTTGTATAACATTGACCTGGTCAATTGCGTCAAAATATTTGTATATTATTTAGCTCATAATGCGATTAAAACTAAACCAGGGGGTAGACTACATATATACCGACCTATTGTAAAGCTAATTAAACGGGACATTATTATTAACAAATTTGACAATGACAATATAGTCGACACATTATTTGAGTTCATTGATGCAAAAATGAATGAAATACCAGATAAGGTATATAATGATGACTCTGAGGAAATTTTGGCATCAGGGGAAAATTTAGAAATATTCAGGCAAATGTTAGGAGACCCAGATGCATTTTATTATTTATCAAAAGGGACCAAGTTTCTAATTTATTACAAAAAATACACTTCTGATAATCAAGTACAATTAATGCTAGATTGTCAATGTAAATTCGCGGCAACATTAGGACATATTCGGTTTGCCGTATTCAGCTATGTTCATTCACAGAGTGATCAGGACCACTTAAAATTGTCATTTATAAGGCATAGTACTCATTTAACTGGAATCCGATTGGTATTCACAGATAATAATTTTAGTGAATACAAATATTCTGAAAATGTGTAATTGATGTATGAAAAATACTGATAAAACTTAACTTGTTCATAGGATTTACATATTGTGGTTGACTGATGAGTCAATTAATTAAAATGTGTTTTGTTTACATTGAAAAATGTATTGAACAGTAAATAATTTAAAAATATAATTTAGTTTTCTTATTAATTCACAATTTTTATAATACATGTGAACGACCAGGTCATCAATCAGACACTCGAGACCCTTAATAAAGGGAAGTTTAAGAAGCTTTACTTCAATCCTGGTTATTGTTTATAAGTTAGATAATTAATTATGGTTTCATAATCACAATTTCATAAGTAGTCATTATACAACCTGTATTTCCATAAATAAAATTAAAATAAAATTAATATTTTAGCAGTTAAATGAGTCATTGTATGTGGAATTTAGGAATTTAACCCAAAATCATAGATAAATAAGTTATTATATAATATACTCGAGACTAATGTAAATAAAAATAATATAGATAATGAAGTATATGTATAGAAAAATTTATTATTATACATTACAATATTCTATTGTTTTTTATAATAAGTGATAAATATTGCATTTACTCATAACTTTATTGTAAGGTGAATTCAAGTAACAAATGTGTAAATGTGACACAAATGGCTAAAAATATTAATACTTTACAAGAATTTACTACTAGTTTAAAACAATTATTGATTGACAGCAAATTATTAGCACACTTACTGGTAAATATTTTAAATCTTTATTAACTTTAAAATACTGTAAATTACTTTATAATAAATACAGTAATCCATTAATTTGATGATTCAGAGCAATCGTACGGAAAGTGAGAGCGAAAATGAATTACTGATTATCATTGATAACGTTGAGTCCAGGGTCGGACAGACATCCAGACATTTGGGCACATTATCCGAAATTCTGGACTAATAACTCATAAATGATAACAGTTCGAAAGACACGAAAAATAAAGTCTACTAAACGTCGAGACGTATACCCAATGCACCGGCAGGTCAGAGGGTTCTGTATTATTATTAATAACCAGGTGTTTGCGGACCCGGAGCTAACATTCCGGAGGGGTTCCCGAGCCGATGCCTACCGACTGTCCGATGTGTTCAGTCAACTCAGTTTCGATGTCCATATGTATGACAATCAGACCAGCGATCAGATGACGGAGTTGTTGATGAGGTTCAGGGATAGGGAGGCAGACCTGTCAGCCCACGACGCGCTGGCGGTTATTATAATGAGTCACGGCTGTAAGGATGGTGTGTACGGGTCGGACGGACAGGTAGTTCCCGTGAATTCTATTTTGCGATATTTTAATAATGACAACTGTACGACACTTATCGGAAAGCCTAAAATGTTTTTTCTAACCGCTTGTAGGGGTGGTGAGTGTATATCAGTGTCTCACAAAAGTAGTGTGAAAACCAGTACATTCAAAAATTTGAATTTTATTGATCATTTGGATTGGTCTAGGATCATTGTTACCTAGGCAAACATAAACTTCCAACGTATTTTACACTGCTTTTGTGAGACACTGGTGTATATATATATATATTTTTTAGTATCAACTTAATAAATTTGAAAATTGATTATTGTTTTAGATGAAATGGACCAGGGTGTTTGCATAGATCCAGATCTTAGCCCTCAGATCCAACACAGAAACAGAAAAAAAAGTTTGTTCCCGAAGGATATTATGAGTATAATTATCATTCCCAAGTGGAGTGACATATTTGTATACTACTCCACCATCGAGGGTAATTAATATATTGTATAAACTAGATATTTAATTAAAAGTTATAGCATAGCTGTCTTTGTTACAAATATTTAAGCATATACCTAGGTTATTTATCGCCGCGGAATACAATTACCGGTTCGTGGTTTGGCTATGGGTTGGCCCACTGTTTGGCGCAATACTCGGCCACTGAACACCTCAACGATTTGGTGACCATAAGACTGGCCAAAAAAGTCGACCACAGAATCAGTCGACTAAAGGGGACACTGGTCTTCAAGTCGGCCATTGAATGCAAAACATTAGGATACGCTAAGAAAGTTTATTTTAATCCAGGACTATTTAAAACCGGGAGCAGTGTTAGTATCAGAGATAGAGTTTGCAAATATTTTCATTGTTCAGGAAAATGAAAAATTTCAACATAAATGTACAATATTTAAAAATTAAATATAATTATAAATATTTACAAAAGTATGTGGAGTTGTTTAATATTTATTTTTGTAATTCTACTAAAATATTGTGACAATTATCTCAGAAATAGCTACCAGCCTACTGTTATTGTTTACTTCCAAAGTTTTAATACTGAATAAACATAATTAACATTTATAATAAGTATAAGTAATATATTTTAAATTATATAATTGTTAATAATGTAAATGTAACGGTTAAATAATAGTTAAATAAAAGTTTTAAAACAATATAAATCTAACACGTAAGTAAAATTGATAGCAAAAATTGATTATGCATAAAAAAGCTATTGATAATGTAACTATTTTTTATTAAAAATCCAAATTGAAATGGCATTGAAATTACAAATACGAGGTTAGTTACAAAATTTGACATAAACTAATAAGTTATTTGTAATAACATAAAAGTTGATAGTGAATTATAAATACAAAATATATAACTACAGTGTAAATATACAACAGTATCAAAATGTTAAGACAATTTGTGATTAGTTTAAAACGATTGTTGATTGATAAAAAATTAGTTAGCAAAAATGAGCTCGCTAATATGCTGATACAATACAAAGTATAATATATCAACATATCATTAATATACTGGTTTATTGAAACACATGTGTATTATATTAGAAATTTTTGATTTCAGAGAAATCTCAGGGAAACTGAAGACGAATTACTGGTAATCATAGCTTACATGGAGTCCATGGATTGGAAAGGCATTAACAAATTTGGTCACACTATGGAAACATCCGGATTGCTATCCCATGAATTATGCGAACACTACTCCACCACTCAATGGATGACTCGACTCAGAGACCTGGTATTTACGGGCCGGGAGTTCACGAGTAAATTAACTCTAAGAAAAGCTCGCAAAATAAAGTCTACTAAACGGGGAGACGTATACCCAATGCATAGGAAAGAAAGAGGTTTTTGTATTATCATTAATAACCAGTGGTTTGCGGACCCGGAGCTAACATTCCGGAGCGGTTCCCAAGCGGACGCCCACCGGCTGTCCGATGTGTTCAGTGAACTCGGTTTCGATGTCCAGATGTTTGCCAACCGGACGAGTGATGAGATGAAGAAGTTGTTTAAGGGGTTCAGGAATAGGGAGGCAGACCTGTCAGCCCACGACGCGCTGGCGGTTATTATACTGAGTCACGGCTGTGAGGATGGGGTGTACGGCACAGACGGACAGGTAGTTCCCGTGGAGACTATTTTGCAATATTTTAATACTAATAACTGTATGTCGCTTATTGGAAAACCTAAAATGTTTTTTGTTACTGCGTGTAGGGGCGGTGAGTATAAAGAATTATTTTTTAGATTACCATATGCAATTATACAGTTAAGCGTTATTATTTCTAGGTGAAATGGACCTTGGTTGTAAGCTGGTTTACCTAAAGTCAGCCAAAAAACGAAACCTTATAAGTATATGTCTCGAGGGTATCATTGGTGTGTGTATTGCCCTTTGCATTGTTGCATTTGCTCGGAGGAGGAGGTCCACCACAACAGTTACCAAGACCATTCCCACGTGGAGCGATATATTTGTATACTATTCCACTATTGAGGGTAATACTTTTACTATTTTATACAACACTGCTTTATTAATTTTAAATTAATAATTTATAATCTGGTTAAGGTTAAAATAAAATTTTAATTATTAATCGTAATTTATAAATATTATAAGACTGGCTCACGTACTATTCACGTTTAGTAACTTGACAGTAATGTCCAGGAGGTAGGGGGGTCCATGAGGGAGTATTTTGAGTTGGACATAGGGTGTCTAGGGTGTCTAGGGAGGTCCACGGGATTTTTGTATTACGAATTGAGACATACCCTCCCCCTAACCTAAGCAAAGGTTTAACATTACGCCTATTAAAAAAACAGGAAGAAACTGGTAACTGGCATCCCTGGTAACTTGTCTCGTAAATAATTATGTAACTAACAACATTTTTATAAGTATATTATTAAAACTAATGTTTATTAATTATATGCAATATCAAAACTTATGATTTAGACAAAAATATAAATTAATATTTTAAAAATATTATATTTTATTCAAAAATTAAACATTATCAAGGTTATTTATCTCCGAGAAATACAATAACCGGTTCGTGGTTTGGCTATGAGTTGGCCCACTGTTTGGCGGACTACTCGGCCACTGAACACCTCAATGATATAGTGGCCATAAGAGTGGCACAAAAAGTCGATGACCGGGTCAGTCAAATACCGGGGCTCGGGATCATTAAAACTGCAATTGAGTGCAAAACATTGGGTGTTGTTAAGAAAGTCTATTTTAACCCGGGATTAGTTAAAACCCAGAATATAATTGTTAGGATTTTTGGATGTATCAAAAAATGAAAAATAATTGCAGATTTTATTTAGTGTTTTAAAATTATAAAAATTAAATATGATATATTTGTATAAATAAAATTTATAATATTATTTAAATTACAATTATAATAATTATTTTATATTGACACTTTTGTAATAAACAATGAATGACCTAATAAAATATAACTACTTAAATGTAACTTTCCTCAAAAACTAACCTTAAAAACTAAATTAATTTTTAATACAAATTTTAAAATTCCTTCAACCGAATAATAATTAATAGCATTTGAATAAAATGTAAGATATTTATAATCTATTGCTATAGAAATGACATTTTCATAATAAATAACAGAATAGTTATGAAGTTTCACAATATTTATGAAACATTAAATCACTGATAAATATAATAAAAAGTGATTTATAAACACAATAATAACGAATTATAATAAACGGTTCTACCCCAAAAGACCTAAAACCGAAAAGACCTAAACTAAAATAACTAACTGACCAGTGGTCGTATTTTAAATTTGATGAGTGGAATAGTATACAAATATATCGCTCCACGTGGGAATGGTCTTGGTAACTGTTGTGGTGGACCTCCTC